ATCAATCCGTGAATCCGTGAATCCGTGAACGCCCGACCGGTTTTGCCCTTCTTGGGGTTCATTAGATAGATGCAGTCCACGAGTTTCCGTTAACCTTATATCCGAATTGAACCCAAATTGGAATGATCTCGATAAATACACTCCATGCAAATCAGTTTCGACAAACACAAAAGGGTAGTATGGAAATGAGTACATTTGTTCAAGTCTGTCCAACTGTGATTCGAGGAGAAAATAAGACTGAGGAAACTAGGGGAGCGCTCCTCCTGATGGGCCCCAAGAAGAGCGATACTGGTCGCGGGCTGCCGAAGAAATTTCATCAACCCTGGGGGTAGTTTCCTTCATGGAAATATACTGCGATGTCTCGAATAACGTACCAAGTGGAACATGAAGCGGCCTTTGTGCAGCACGTTCAGCGGAAGAACATCATAAACGAGAGATCCACATGAGTCCCGGGTGAAACCAAATTGATATGCAAGTGAGTGTATTTGTCGAAATAATAATGGTTATTCCCAACTTTTGGGTGCCATACCGCCAGGCACAAAGGACCTTCAAATGACCAGATGCACCTTTTCTCTTGTCACTGTCTTGGACTGCTAGATGCCTTATAAGACCCACTTCAGATCCCCTCTTGAATATGCCACTAAGAACGTAACCCGCATTTACCGTGTCCAACGAAAAGTTACAAAGTGATTACTGTCCTTAAGTCGGTTGATTGTGGGAGGAATCTCGGGTACTTGAGCTACTTCTCTGGAGCATCGCTGCCCCCCATGAGACCTAGTGCACAAATAGTGCTTGTTTTGATTATGCTTGGCCAACAGCTTTCTCACCGTCGACCCTACGAATTCAATGCGGGGATATGTTATGATTTCCCAGCGCACACACTTTTACCAGGCAACAATTATTTCTAATTTCGGGTGGTTGGTGAATGGAACGACCTTCCTCCGGCGGTTCACGCTAAATCTAGTGCACTTTTGCTTGCCAGAGCCGCTGGCTATTCGCACAATGAGATTGATTTCTCGAAATCTACGGCATTTTCAGACTTGCCACTTCATAGTGTAGAAAGTCTATGTGTAAGGTACATGCTCCCGTATTATTGAAAATCCTTTACTATGGCGATTTGTTTAAGTGAACTAAATCTCCAGGTGAATAAACACCGCCGACTTTGAATACCTTAACGGATGAAAAAATCGCGAATTGTGGAAAAGGTTGACTCACATACAATGAACGTAACTTTCAGGTATTTTTCCACCGGAACAGACTTCCTCAACATTCTAGAATCTAAATGGCCTTTGGAGATGCAACTTATGCGCAGGCGCATTCGTGCAAACAA